CCCGGGGCCGCGCCTGGCTCACCTCTGAGCTCGCCGGGCGCGCTCCCAGCGGAACGTTCCAGAAGCGGTGGCCTGAGCCAGGCAGTAGCTCACGGAGACGACCCTCGCTGCCTTTGCGCTTGTCTTCCGTGATCTTACTGTTATATTTATCCGAGTATCAGGTGACTGCGTGTTTGTAGAGGACGAAGTAGGGTAAAAACCTGATCCAGAACGTACGTTCGCTGGTCCTCTCGCTTCTCGTAAGGAGCAGGTCTTTTGTGGCATAGCCAAGAAGTACAATGCTCTTCTGGCCAGTAATATAGCGTGGTTTAGCTGAGAATTATTCTGTTCTACGCTTAGTTTACAGATCCAGAACTTGAGGGACAGGGGAGAGAAAAGGAGAGATCTTATTTTCACTGTAGAACAAGAGAAAGACGTATTCTGCTTACTGAAAGGCTGAAAAGACAACACAGCTTTATTCCCCAGATTTTTGGGGGCTTCTCGAACCAGAGGGAAGGAAGTGTATGAAAACCGAAACGGTATATGGGAAAAGTAGGGAAAAAAAACGGGGTCTGTGGGTCAACAGTTGGGATAGCAATGCAGAAATAGGGATGTAAAGGAAAATGGTAGTGATATGGAAGTGGAGATGGAAGAGGCCGGCTACTTCTCGTGATCGTTTCAGTGCTTATCAGCAAGAACTGCGTGTCTGGTCAGAGGCTGTGCCATCCTCTTGCAGCCTTAATCTGTGGAGGTGAAAAGAACATGCTCGGGGAGGGTCCTCTGCTGCTCACCACCATCTCGCAGATGGCATTGACAACTACTTCTGTCTAGGCATAGATTTTATCCAGATGTAAGGTTGAGCATGATCATATGCTAAGTGCTTAAGATGACATTTCTGGGGAAAAATATGGCCTTAGATATGTCAGCGATAGTTCTGCGCAGGTTTTTATTTTGTGTGTATTTTGTAGAAGTCACAGGAAAGGTCGTTGTCATAGCACCTGCTAGGCTCTTCCAAGGTCATACATAAGTCAAAGCATGTAGCACAAGTTAGGCTGGAATCGGTATGGGAGTCTGCTGGCTGTGACTCTTCACTGCAGCCGTTTCCTTCACAAATGGATTCAGCGAGCAACCATTGATGGCTGTGTTAGAATTCTTTAGACTACAGAACTTTTATTCCAGCCAACTTTCTATAAAAAGATTAGTACTTTTTGAACTTTGTGATGTAGCTGTCCACTTCTTTCTTTCCAATGAACTTTTCAAGGGTCCAACTTTTGTTTGTTTTTCTCTTTAGCTTTGAAATTTAATGCCATTACATTTTATTTGAAGAAGAAATTACTCGGGTCCATGGGGCATGCTCTTCCTTTGTTGAGTTTCCCTATGTTTGTGCCATCAGCAGTACTTCAAAATACATGAACTGCTAGAGGGGCTAAACCTGTGAGGCTGTTAATGGCAGCAGGAGGGTGTGAGGAACATCGTGTTGGTACTCCAGGATCGTTGTTACTGTCAGCACCTTTAATAAATGGTGCTGGCTTTCTCATGCTGAATAACAGTTGTATCCGTTGACAGTAGGTTTAAGGAGATAGTCAAGTCCACATTTCCCATAGTCAAGGTTTGGAAAACTGTTAAGCTAGGCTACTAGAAAACAGGAATCTAGTCTGGATGAAGATACTGGGTTAGTAGTTGGTCAGCTATCTGAAAGGGAGTAGCTTTGCTATTGCCAGGGTACTGTGAAGCAGTTTCTGACACTGACAGAGTCAATATGCTGTCTGGAAAAATAACTTTAGTTACCATGTATTGTTTGCAGACTCGTCTTCAAAGCCTGCTAATGCTAAAATGCAGTTTTGAAAATAATCTAAATAATTTCCAATAAATAAGTTCCAATTTCATAACATAGACACTAGATAGTAACACTGCACCTAATCTCTGTGATTATTTTGCAATCTTTAAAGTCCTCACAGAAAATTTTAAGAGTCTCAGAATATTTTTGTAGTGGCTAATTGCAAAGATATATATACTTGGATGTTGTGGTGCTTGCTTGTATGGGGAAGGATTGATCTGTTTAATTTAAATTCAGGATTTTAGAAGTGTAGGTCCAGGTGGGAAGCATTTAATGAATGGAATTAAGTGACTGGAGATGCTGGACTTCTGGAGAAAAATAAAAAAGATACTTGCAGTAATCAAACCTTTTAATAGTAAGAGTCATTGGTATAAAGCCAGAATTTGAAGGCCAGCAGTTCTTTTTAAGATGAATGGTTATGTTTTCTCCCAAACTGTGCTTTGTAAAAAAATTTATTTCACACAGGATTTCTTTTTCTGAAGCAGGTGGTGTTTTATTCATTTTGTTCTCCACAGTGATGTCGTAGTTATCAAAACCATTTTGTTGCTTCCATTCCAGCTAAACCTCCAGAAGCAGTAACTCCTTTACTGTATTGTACCCTGTTTAATGGTTCCTTCTGTAGGCCAGTTGCATAATCATTGAAGTGTGTGTTTGTCTCTCATCAGATACTGTTCCAAGGAGAGTTATTTTTTCTGCAAAAGAATTTTTACTCATAGGGAATGTAGGAGTACAAAGGATTCAAGGAATGTTGCATGTTGCTTTTTATTTTTTTTTAAAAGAGCTTTCAGCGATGGCACAACAAAACTTGGTGTTCAGATATTTTGAAGTCTTTGTCTGCTGTCCTTCATTTCCCTGTGAAGTTTTTATAACTTGTTTTTAATACTACAAAGCATAAAATTTACAGCCTTGGGGAGAATGAGGCGAGTCATTGTTCAGTTAGTAGCACTTCTACTGTTGTCAACCAAAGTACAGTATCATGTCAGGAGTCCCTTCCAAATATATTTTAAGGATAATGTAAAATTATTGGCTTACAAATATTGAGTTGTTACTATGTGTATGTTTCCTATTAGCTTATGAGATCATGGGACTGTGCAGATAAAGTTAGAAATATAGTAACAGGTTAGGACATGAGAGTTCAAACTATCACATAGTGTTTTTTAATCGTATAATGTGTTTTATGTAATTTCAAACGTTTTCATCTTTCAGTTGTGTACACTTTTTCACTTTGTTGTTTTGTTTCATTCCCATTATCTAACTTTTTGTTTTCCCCCTTAAATGTTTTGGTGATTCTCCAGAACCAACGAAAAGTATGCTTTCCTTCCAAGGGTTAGCGGAGTTGGCTCATCGTGAGTATCAGGCAGGAGACTTTGAAGCAGCAGAGAGACACTGCATGCAGCTTTGGAGACAAGAGCCTGACAATACTGGTGTGCTTTTGTTACTGTCGTCCATTCACTTCCAGTGTCGCAGGTTGGACAGGTAGGAGACTCGGGGTGTTCCCTCCAGCTTGCTTTGTAGTCTGCACCACTAAAATTACTGAGCACAGCTGAGAAAAGTTCTGGTTTATCATTAATAAATAATAATGACTAACTTGATGGCACCAGTAAGGACTGGTCAAAACCAATGTTCTTTTTAAACTGTTAGGATAAGAGAAATACAAATGGGAATTGCTAGCTTTACAGCAAGCAACAGTTCTTGCCATTTTTCTCATGTTATTTTAATACTATACATCCTACTGTTGGAGTGTCAGCCACAGTTGTGTGCACTGGAGGTATTTACGTGTTTAAACAAAGGCTTTTGCATATTCCACTCAAAGTTTGGTGTTGTTTTTTTTTGGTTTTTTTTTTTTTTTTTTCCCCTCAAGTTGCAAGACTGAGTGTTTGCTGTGAAACAGCATGATTAGTTAAGGATTTTTGTCATCTGAAAGTTGTCAGTTCTTTCTGCCTGCCTGTTCCTGATCTTGCTTTCTGTTCATGAAGCATTTTAAACTTCACTTGTTCTAGCTGTAAATATGTGTTTGCTGATGCGAGAAGTAAGAACTTTTGTCTCAGTTTTATTTTATATACGCTTCTGAATGAAGCTGTTAAAACAGTTCAGATATGGGAAAGTAAAATAGGGGAGGGTACAACAGAATTTTACATCTACATCTGTTAGCTATGTCTTGCTTCTTGAAACGAGTATCAAGTGAAACTTTGCTTAAAGCATACAAATATTGGAAGAGACTTCGCAGGATATCTGTAGTATTTTCTCCAAGAGTGTTGAGTTCAAGTTTGGTGAGTCAGCTTGAACCCTACTGGTGTGAATATGAGTTGTCTGTCTTCAGTAGACTCTAAAATAGGAACAGGTGAGATGATAGTTTTAAGCTAGAAGAAGCTAAACATACAAGACAGCTCTTGTAAGTCCAGATTTATTTGCTGTATGTTTGGCTCACTCAATCATGGGTATTATGTGACTAGGTAAATGGGCAAACACTGAAACTTAAGTGTGGCTTGGGTTGGTTTTTTTTGTTGTTTTGTTTTTTGTCGGCTAACTTATCTAATTTTCTCCAGGTCTGCTCACTTCAGTACTTTGGCTATTAAACAGAATCCACTGTTGGCTGAAGCTTACTCAAATCTAGGCAATGTGTACAAGGAGCGTGGACAGCTCCAAGAAGCCATTGAACATTATAGACATGCGCTACGCCTCAAGCCAGATTTCATCGATGGATATATTAATTTGGCTGCTGCCCTGGTAGCTGCAGGTGATATGGAAGGAGCAGTACAGGCATATGTGTCTGCCCTTCAGTACAACCCTGTAAGTAATGCTGTATTTTACAGAAGAGCTCTATGCTTTACTGCTGTCCCAGGACACACAGATAGCCGGTTTAAAAGAACAAAAAAAGTGATAAACCTTCCCTGTAACCTGTACACCATGAAGTTAATGATCTATTTAATATTTATGTTAAGGATCTTTGAAAGACTACTGGCACAGAAAGCTTTAAATTGCAACACAGTAAGGAAAGCTCCTTGTGTACTTACTCGTATTGTTTAGATAACAGAAGAACAAGGAATTGTTTGTGTGTTGTTTTTTTTCTGGTCAGAAGTTTCAGTGAGTGACCTCATTTAGCTTTGTTTTTTACTAAGGCAGTATTATTACAGTGAAAGAGTCACTGTTCAGACTGGGTTGTGAGATGTTCAGAAATCATCAGGTATTACTTTATCATGAAGTCAGAAAATCTGTCGTGATGAGAGCTGCCTTGGTTAGATTTCCACAGGGGATTAGCTTGCAGAACCATGTTTTTTATGTTTTGCGGGCTGAAACTGAGTATAAATGACACCTGTAAAATAGATCTGGTGTTTGAATTTTTGGTTGTGACAGTTTTGAATTGACATTTTTAGTAAACAGTGTACCAGACTGATAACTTCTCTTTATTTTGCATTATACTCAAATAATTTGTATATTGCTATTCAGTATAATGAAGGTATCTGTTTGCTACTTGGTCATTTTGCCAAAAAATACAACACTGCTCTGGTGCGCATATATCCTTTTTCCTTTGGAAAAGCAAATACAAGCTGAGTCCAAAGAGAGCTCAGGATCTTGATTTGCTGTGTTCATCCTAGGTGAACTTGTCTAACTTGTGCTAAGTGGTGTGACTAGTGGAGTTTGTGCATTGGTTGGTAATACTGTGAGATGGTGTTTTGTTATAGGGGTTGAGGTTTTTTTCAGGTTAGAAAGTTCTTTTGTTAGCACTGACAAAAATGTCGCCATTCTCTGTGGTCTTCACTTACTGCTGGATAATGCAGTTGCAGTCTGTACTGTGGTTACAAATGAATATCAGGTGGCAAGGTTGTTTAAAATGGACAAATTAGTGGGAAAAACAGGGAGGAGAAACTGCTTTGGGTATACAGGAAGCAAAATCAATTATGTGCTGTCTAGTTAAGAGTCATAATGGCAGTAGGGTAACCTAAGAATACAGGACATGCTTAGAAAAAGAAAAAGAGGCTTCAGCTACTTATGTATGGCAAAAGAATTTAAGCTCCTTGGGTGGGTGGGGGGCATTTGTTTCCAGTTTTGTATTTCTGTATAAACAGGAATTGTATGAAACACTACTTTTGTACTTCTTTCTACTTCTCTATGGTTGTATTTTTACAGTACTAAAATCAGTAATACTATCTCTCAACTGTAACATTGGGTCAAGAAAAATAATTTACATTTGTGATGTATTAAGAATTTAATATAAGCTGTGGAGGACTGGTGTGTTCCCTTGCATGCTCTCTGGAGACCTTTGGGGCACCTGAAGTCCTGAAGCTGATAGTGTGACTTTGGTATTTCAGGACTTGTACTGTGTTCGTAGTGACCTGGGGAACCTGCTGAAAGCCCTGGGTCGCTTGGAAGAAGCCAAGGTAGGTGTTGGGTAGAATACATGTAAACATCAGTGTTTTGAAAAATTGAACTTTGCACCAAGTCTTCAAGTCTGCATTGATCTACAGACAGTCTGAGAAGCTGCTGGAAAGCTGAAGGCACTGAAACACCTCAGAGTAGTTGCAGGGCAAGATATGGCATGTCCCATGTTTAAAAGTTAGCTTAAGTCAAGAAACGGAACATTACCAAGCCTTTCTGCTGAAACTAGACTATCTGATACCATTCTGAAGTATTGGGCAGGGGCTCCGTCATGCTCTTACCTGGAAATAAGTCCTTCAAACCTGAGGCTTGCCTGCTGGTGCCAAGCAGAGAGCCTGTGGTTAGCTCGAGATCCCTGTACGATGCAGGTGATATTGAAAATGCTGCTCTTCTAAAGTCCTTTGTGACTTGTAAGTGGACAAGAAACTTACCCAAATGTTACCGTGTAATATTGGCTTTTAAATATTTTTATTCTTTTAACTTTTCCCTTCCCTTGATAGTGGAAGAAAGGCTAGTAAGTGATCAATAGCTGCAGTATGCAAACCTCCCTCTTATCTTTTTTTTGTGTCTTCCCTTTCCCTCCCCCAAAATAAAGAAATCTGAAGGACAAAGCTGGTTTGTTTGGAAATGAACTGATCGAAAGAAAACTTGCTGTAGTGGAAAGGTGGCTTCTAGCAGTCTTGTGTTTTCTAAACTGAGGATTTGAACACCAAGATAAGTTTGAAATTCTTGGCATGTTAAAACTTGGATTGCACAAAGAAATTGTCTTGTTACAAGCCACCTTACGCGTCCGCGCTGCAGGGGTGAGGAGTGTGGAGGAATGGGAAACTCCGGACTCCACGGCTGTCACTCCGAGCCCCACGCGCATGCTAAAAAGTGGAGTGTATGAACAGCGTAGCTGTCTGTTTGACTGCAGCACCATCTGGGGGGGTATGGGCTTTAGGGGGTAACGGGGAGTGCAGGGACAAAGTTTATTACTGTTTTAATTTCTCTCAACAACTTGGATGTGTGTACTATCCTAGGGCAGCCTAACTGATTTGGTCAGATCCAGGTTGAAAATATTTTGTAGCAGCATTTCGAGTTTGAACAGTCTTTGAGACACTTGGTTCTCAGCCCACCAAGCGGACAGCTAACATGAACTGCACTTCACTGCAGCTTTAGTGTGACTGGTATAGGCCAAGACACTGCGCCTGCCTTAGGTTGCTGACTTCTTTGTTTCAGAGCTCTGGAGACACCTAGATTGAAAGTGTTATTCCGTTTTGTGAGAACTTAATAAACTAGGAAAAACATCTTGAGTAAATTGCAATGTGTTTCTTTGGTTATCAGTCCATTTGAAAGATCAAGCCAGCAGATTCCTTACAGTTTGAACTAAAATTCAATTTCTTTGTAGATATTTCAGAGCCTTTCTTCCAAAGAAAAAAAAACCAAAACCAACCCCCCAAACAGTCCCTGCTGTATGCAGTTGCCCTGATTAACCCTCTCCCTTCTGCATGTCTCCCTTGTTACAGACAGATTGTCCTCATTCCCATGTGTTAAGACATATCCAAAAAATGCAATTGCTTTGTTGAACTCTTACTAATGATCTTGTTTTATTTTCTCTCTTGTTTTTGGTTTTTCACCACTGATATTGTATTTAGAAGGTTTCAGGTGGGTGAAACCTCCTATTCCATGCGTAAGGTGCCTCGCTGAAGGGAGCTCGAGGCCTGGATCTAGGGCAGACACACACCTCCTCCTCCTCTTCCAGCAAGGAACGCACCGAAAAGTCACATGATGAGAAATATGGTAACGGGTTTGTAACTGCCACAGCAAAACCATTTGCCTCCATGCCTGAATCTTCTGTCTTGTGGCTTCAGAAACAGCTTAAAATATTTAATTACAAGCAAGTAATGTAAGAATATTTTATACTAGTAGCCACAAATTCTTTCAAAGAAATAAAGTAAAAGTAAATTAAAGTATTTTTTTTAAGAAATAATTTGAGATAGTTAATAGTAAAAGCTTCTAACTCTTCTGGTTGTTCATTTTTTTTCCTTTTTCTTCTTTGTTTGGATTGCAGCGTTCTGCTCTTCTGATGATGCGCTGTGATCCTGCAGTAGCGCAAAGGCTGCGCAGCGGTAACGCGCATTGCGTGCGATTAAGCCCTCGTGAACGGTTGACTAGATGATTAATCTTTGATTGGGCGGCTGCCCAAGCTCCAGGCTGTAGCCTTTTGGATCAGATTGGGTCGTAACACATATAGAGTCCAGCCATCAAATTTAACATGCGAGTTTCTGCGTGGGCCTGTCTGGTAGATTAATGATTCTGGTTGGCCGTTCACTGCACCTAGGGGCGCTGACGATGGCAGGGAGTCCGCAGCGATAGCGTGGCGCCGTGCTCCTTAGGATGCGCAGCGATTTCTTGCGCTTGCATTACAGGGACCTAAACCTTCGTGCAATCCTGTCATTTGAGGTTTTGAAGCTGCAGGTGATGGGAGGTATTTGAAGAAACAGGGAAAATAGGTGGGGATCGGTTGTGTCATCACTCAGACAATGAAAATCGAAGAATGGCTTCATCTTTTTTAGTGTTTTTTCTGAATTTTTTGAAGTAGTTTGCATCTGCTCTTGAATATTACACGATTTAATAATTTCACAGCAGAGTTGTTTTTACACAGTATGTTTTTGGGGGTTTGTGTGTTTAAAGGTGGCAGATATTTCTGCTGAACTTCTTGAATTATTTCTGAGATGATTTCTGTGGTGATTGTGTCTAAGGGCATGTTAATCTGTTGTCAGCATAACTGAAAAATGGTGGGCTTGCACCTGGGTTTTGGTTTGCGCTGGCGCAGGATCAACAACAGTTTGCAGCGCATTAGTTTTGGCGCAAGCTAGCCTATACTGCAGGGTCACTTTTGACTGGTTAGAGAAGGAATACTAACAATTTTTTTTTCTCATTTTTTTTCTTTGTACAAATACTCCCCTTCCCTTGTATCTCTCTTCTTTAACTGTTCCAAGGCCTGTTACTTAAAAGCAATTGAGACTCAACCAAACTTTGCAGTGGCTTGGAGTAATCTTGGCTGTGTTTTCAATGCCCAAGGAGAAATTTGGCTTGCAATTCACCACTTTGAAAAGGTAACTAAGCCAGTCAGTTTCACTGCTGGATTTTAATGTACATGCAGTTGTCTACTTGTAGATGATAGAAATGTTTTCCATCAGCAGAGGACTTCTTATGATCCTGTTAACATCCTATGTTGGGTTTTTTCACTCCTGGTGTATTAAAGTGCCTATATGGCACTAGAGAGATAGTGTTACAACTGCCCAAAGGACTTTATGGATGTCAAATATGAGAAAATTAAGTTGTTTTACATCTTTTTCCAGGACAAAATTTTTAAAAATCTAATTTGATGGGAATAATGTTTTGCATGTTTCATGTGTGAGAGGGAGAAACAAACTTTCTGCTTAAAAGAATTTTTCCCTGTGATTTGTTTCAGCTATTACTGTCATTTTGGGTAACTGAGGAGAACAATTTTAAGTGACACTTATTCTTCTCCAGGATTATTTTTCACCATTATTGTTTCAGACTTCTCTAGATGGCTGTCATTATTTAGTTGTCTGATGTGTTCTAATTAAGAAGTAATTAGCATCATAATTCAGTTTGTATTCATCTCTTAAGTTCGCTTTTTAGTGACCTAAAAGTGGTTTTAACATGTGGTGGACAGTTTCTTCCTGATATTTATGAGTTAAGAACTACAAAAATAATTTTAAGTGCTCAGGATTTTTTTTTAAATCTGTGTCTAGTTAGTTATACATTGTAAACTATAACTTAATTTGGAAATACTAATTTCCATGAGAGAGACTGTAAGAATGTTGCCATGCCAAATACTCACATGTAGCATATTACTGCATCTTCTGTAACTTCATTGGTTCTTAAATTTCCTTGCATTATAATTTTTAAGGGATGAAAACGTTTTATTTTAGCTAAATGTCTACTGAACATACTTTCCCAACACATACGATGCATTTGTCCTTTTCTTGCTCTTGTGAAAGTCTTTTTCTGGACTGCTAAATTAAAATGCTGGCTTATTTTGCAATAGATAAAGGATATGGATTCGTGTTTTTTTCAGGGTTTTTCTTCCCTAAAAACAAATTAAAGGCACATAGCATGAGTAGGCAGGAGTGTTAAGTACCATCAGCCTAAGATGGAATTAATATTTAACACTTTATTCTGCAGTAGTTGCAGCTGACTAGGTAAGCAACTGAATAAATTTGAATGTAGTGTATGCTGTTATTTTTAAAGATAATTAGCTTTGATGCTCTGTTAGTGTTTTATATTATTTAAGTTTTTGTTCCTTTTTAGGTTCTTGTTAAAGTCTTAGATGCTTAGAGTTTGGGTTTGACAAATTAAAAAAAAAAACAAAACCACACAAACTACCACCACCACCAAAAAAAAACACCAAAAAAAAGGTAGCTAGGTTTCATAGAGAATGTTTTTTGTTTCAATGCTCAAAACTTACTTCAAAAATATTTTCAGGCTGTAACACTTGACCCAAATTTTTTGGATGCTTACATCAATCTTGGAAATGTCCTGAAGGAGGCAAGGATATTTGACAGGTAAGCAGATAAGTACTGTCACTCTGTCAGTGGCCTGTTGGATGTATTGAAATACAGGTTAGGTTCCTGATCTAAGATCTCGTTGGACAGTATAGCAAAAACTTCTGTAAGCTCAGCAAGCAAATGGCTTTGAAATGCGTACAGAGCAGGTTATTGAAACTAAAAAAAAAAATAAATAAAGTGGAATGTCTTCCTTTGTTACTTTCCTGTACTTAATAAAAGATTAAAAATGAGCATTTCTGAAGGTACTGATGAAAATAGATTAGAAATTAAGGCTGGAGACAGGTGAAAATAATGCAAGAAAGGCATCAATTCTGTGGTTTAATTTTGTGATTCAGGATATGATCTACAGGTTTGTCTCTTCTAAAATGGTCCTTTTTTTGTAAGACAAGTTGAAATGCTGAAATTCAGCTGAGGATCTTCTTGAGTAGTCTGTATTTGTTCCATGTTGTAACCACGTTAACAGAATCTTAGGGGTTTAAGGGGACCTCAAAAGATCATCTAGTCCAACCCCTCTGCCAGAGCAGTGTCACTTAGAGTACATCACCCAGGAACACGCCCAGGTGGGCCTTTAAAGTCTCCAGAGGTAGTGACTCCATCATGCCCCTGGGCAGCCGGTGCCAGTGCTCTGTCACTCTCATTGTAAAGTTCTTCCTCATCTTCAGGTTGAACCTCTTGTTCACCAGCTTGTGGCCATTGCCCCTGGTCCTGTCACCAGACACCACTGAGACGAGCCTGGCCCATCTTCCTGACACCCACCTTTTAGATACTTATAACCATTAATAAGATCCACCCTCAGCCTCCACTTCTCCAAGCTAAATATCCCCAGCACCCCGAGCCTTTCCTCATATGACAGGTGTTCCAGGCCCTTGATCTTCTTAGTAGTCCTGCGCTGGACCCTCTCCAAAAGTTCTTTGTCCTTCCTGAACTGAGGAGCCCGGAACTGCACACAGTATTCCAGGTGGGGCCTCACCAGGGCAGAGCAGAGAGGGAGGATGACTTCCCTTGACCTGTTGGCCACATACCTCTTAATGCACCCCAGGATGCCACTGGCCTTCTTGGCTGCACACTGCTGGCTCATGGTCATCCTGCTATTAACTGGGACTCCCAGGTCCTTTTCCCCAGAACTGCTCTCCAACAGATAGCCCCCAGCCTGGACTGATGCATGGGGTTGTTCCTCCCCAAATGCAGGACTTTACACTTGCCTGTATGGAATTTCATGAGATTTCTCCCTGCCCAGCTCTCCAGCCTGTCAGGGTCTCTCTGGATAGCTGCACAGGCTTATAACATGCACGTTATTGCGTGGGGTTGCAGTACTGCTGCGGTCTTCTCTGAACTAACCTGTTCAGAGACTTGTAATCCAATACATGAGTCTTTCTTTTGTTACTGGAAGAAGATCAAGACAGCGTTGTTTATATGCAGGGTACCATGTTGCATCTGTTAATTGGATTTTAATTTCTGGTAGCTGTGGTTTGTGGCTCCAGAGTTAATAAAAGCTTTCAGGGAACAGGTTAATTGTTCTAATTAGTTGCATTACAGACAGTGTAAATGTTTGGTGGATTTCTCCTTTAGCCATGGGCCAAACAGGCATGCTTCCTCATCATTTTAGATTTCACGTCATCTTTTTGAGAATTTACTTCTGGTGTATACTGTTGTCATTTTTCTGGAAATTTGATTTGAATGCATCAGTCATTTATATAGCTGTACAGGAATATATAATTAAAGGACTCACTTTTGAAGAAAGTGAAGTTTGATGTATAACTAAAGCATGATACATGTGTTAGGTTAGCAGAGAGAATAAAGATGTAATAGTACGATACTGTTTATATTGTTACAATTGAATAATAAACTGGAAAAAAATGGAGCAAAGATCCCATGCTTATGCTAGCAGTAAAGCGCATTTAAAAAAACTAGATGAAAACAACTTCTTTTCACAAAGACCTACATTGGTCACTGTATGGCATCAAGTGGTGGGAGGAAAACATTCCTGTTTTATGAAGTATTTCTTGTAATCTCCTAGTCATTACAGAATTCAGCATAGCTTTAAAATAACATGAACAGTAGTAATTTGTCCTTTGATTGGGCTTTTAATTCAGGCAGTACGGTTTTGTGTTTGCAGTAACATCTTACAGGATAGATTTGTGTGTGTTAATAATAAATATCCATTGAAATCTCTGTTTCTTTTTATGTGGGTTGTTTTTATGACCAAGGTAAATAAAATTGCTGCTCAGTGGATAATTGTTTACCTTTTTTCTTGTTACAGAGCTGTAGCAGCTTATCTACGAGCCTTGAGTTTGAGTCCAAATCACGCAGTTGTTCATGGCAACCTTGCTTGTGTGTATTATGAGCAAGGACTAATAGACCTAGCAATAGACACCTACAGGAGGGCTATTGAACTACAACCCCACTTTCCTGACGCCTATTGTAACTTGGCCAACGCCTTGAAGGAGAAAGGCAGTGTAAGGAGTATTTTTTGTCCTTTTTAACATTTTAAAAATTACAGTGAATGTTTATTTAGGCACCAGATGCCACCAGCTCTATTATGGTGGGATGTTGTCTTCAGTCATAAGGAGGACTAATTTAGGAAGCCTCCACCCTGAACCTGTTAAAAGTGGTTGTATAATGGCTTCTCATAAATAGTGCTGTTAAAACAGACACAACCAGATTAACAGTATCCCTCTTTTTGCAGGTGGTAGAAGCAGAAGAATGCTACAATACAGCTCTTCGACTTTGCCCCACGCATGCAGATTCTCTCAACAATCTAGCAAACATCAAGCGAGAGCAGGGGAACATCGAGGAAGCCGTGCGCCTTTATCGGAAGGCTCTTGAGGTGCGGTTGCACGTGGTCGAGGGGATGTGGGGAATTAATGTTGGGAGTGTGTAATATGACACAGGGGTTTTCCCCCCTCTTCAGTCATGAGTGCAGCAACATCTGCTCAGAAACCTGAGTTATATAAAAAAAAAGAGTAAGAAATGCACAAGTATTTTTTTTATATATATATCTTGGTGTACTTGGAGCATTTGAGAGAGACAGCTTGTACTTTTTATTTCCAGGTGTTTCCAGAGTTTGCTGCGGCACATTCAAATTTAGCAAGTGTTCTGCAACAGCAAGGAAAGTTACAGGAAGCTCTGATGCATTACAAAGAGGCTATCAGGTAAATGGACACCACCTGTAATTGTCCCAGCCTTTTGTAACAGGGAGGTACCGTAGATTTGTACGGAAAGTTACTTAGAGTAATGTATTTTAATTCACACAGTTGCTTTGAAAAACAAAAGGTTTGGCTGTGGGGTGGTTTCGCATTGGAGGAGGTGCTTTTATTGTTTCTTACATACATTATCTTTATTTCTCAGAATCAGCCCCACATTTGCAGATGCTTATTCTAATATGGGAAATACTTTGAAGGAGATGCAGGATGTTCAAGGAGCTCTACAGTGCTACACTCGTGCCATTCAGATAAACCCAGCTTTTGCTGATGCCCACAGCAACTTGGCCTCTATTCACAAGGTAGCACATGCAATTGATTCACTCCTAGAGTATGATGGGGCATTGTATTTACCCTGAGGGTTTTTTAATCTACTAACTCTATTCTTTACAGGATTCAGGGAATATACCAGAAGCCATTGCCTCTTACCGCACTGCTCTGAAACTGAAACCGGATTTCCCAGATGCCTATTGCAATCTAGCCCACTGTTTGCAGGTGAGGAAGATGAGGCTTTGATGGTAACTTTTAGGATTCTTCTGCAACATATGCTAAGCTTCATCACCTCAACCAATGACTAGTTTAAATGTAAAGAGTGGATTTAAATCAGAAGATAAGTCAAAAACAGTAATCACTGAAGTTGTCAGCTCCAGTTTTGGAAGAAGCATTAGTCCCAACTTGTGAAATAATCTGATACAGATCAAAGGAAGCTGTTGTCCTAATACTTTAAAAATTTTTGCTTTTTATAGATTGTCTGTGACTGGACAGACTATGATGAAAGAATGAAGAAGCTGGTTAGCATTGTAGCTGATCAGCTGGAGAAGAACAGACTGCCTTCTGTCCACCCACATCATAGCATGCTGTATCCCCTTTCTCACAGTTTTAGGAAGGCTATTGCTGAGAGACATGGAAACCTGTGTTTGGACAAGGTAGGAAGTTTTATACATGCCAGTTGTGATGGAAGTGCTTTGTGGTTTTGCCTGTTTCTACCGAAAATCCAATACTTACGTAGTTAGTATTGGCCTCTGTAAGGTTTGAGTCACTGTCCTGTAAAGAGATACAGTGCCTAGCTCTACTTACCTGTTTTTTCAAAGTACGTGCAGGGGGCATTTTGAAAAAACAGAGTTGAGTATATTACTCTTAAACAGATCCACGCAGCTGTGTGGTAATATTTCTAAAAATCTGATACTTTCCAGCATCCAAGTGAATCCTTGCTGGAATGAGGTGTGAGCTGTGTGTTTGATTTGCTCTGTGATTTTCAAATACACTCACTTCAGTGGCGATAGCAGCAGTGTTACAGGGACGATGCATCACTGCTGTGGTTTGGGGTCAGAGCCACCCCCAGAACTGTAACAGGCCCTCTCTGTTAATCCCCTGCCCCCACCCCCAGAAGGGGAAAGAGAAAGGGATTAAGGGAGAGAGACTTACTGATTAGAAACCAGCTTTAATACTACCAGTAGTAATAATAATAATAGCGCTGATAATAAAATGGAATATTTACAAGTACATACAAAATCAGTATCGAACCCAAGTCCCCCCATCCCAATGGCAGTGCATCACTGTCACCCCCGGCTGGGGAGCAGCCCCCGGGGAGAAGTACAGGAGCTGGATTCTGGAACTTGGTTCAGGAATATGCAGCTCAGAGTCAAAGGCAGAGTGGATGGAGTCCTCC